TTTGCGGTACGCGGGCCTCTCACTGCTGTGGCCTCTCCCGTTGTGGAGCATAGGCTCTGGAGGCGCAGGCTCAGTGGCCACGGCCCACGGGCCCAGCTGCTCCGCAGCACATGGGATCTTCCCGAACCGGAGCACAGACCCGCGTCCCCTGCATCAGCAGGCAGACTCCCAACCACTGCACCACCAGGGAAGCCCGCTTCGTGTACTTTTTAAAAATTTTATTTATCTTTGGCTGTGTTGGGTCTTTGTTGCTGTGTGTGGGCTTTCTCTAGTTGTGGCGAGCTCTTCATTGTGGTGCATGGGTTTCTCACTGTGGTAGCTTCTCTAGGTGCGGAGCAAGGGCTTTAGGCACACGGGCTTCAGTAGTTGTGGTGCACAGGGCTTACTTGCTCCGCGGCATGTGGGATCTTCCTGGGCCAGGGCTCGAACTCATGTCCCCTGCACTGTTAAGAGGATTCTTAACCACTGTGCCACCAGGGAAGTCCTTGCTTCGTGTACTTTAAATGTGTTAGTAGTACACGTGCATAAACAATTGGACCATTTAGCACAAGGTCATGGGCAACTTGGACAAGAGGTTTTGATAGACTAGAAGGAAGCAAAAGCCTGACTGGAGTGGATTCAAGAAAACTGGAAGAATGAAACAATACATAAAAACAGCTCTTTTGAGAAATTTCATTGTGAAGGAAAAGAAGCAGGGTGCTTAAGGCAAAAGAAAGTTTTTAGATAAAAAACATACTATTGTTTCTCTAATGAAGATCCAGTAGAGATGGGAGGTTGATAAGCAGGAAAGATATTGGGGCTCACTAGACAGGAGCAGCTGGGTTTTGCTGGGAGCAAGAAGAGTCCATTTTACAGCACCGGGGGAGACGGCAGACCTTATGGGCACAGAGGCTGCATGTGGAAATTATCCATTGATTACTTTTATTTTTGTGGTCAAATGGCCAGACCATTTTACCTTATAGTGAGTATGGGGAAGGAGATATTGCAAGTTTGAGGAAATAAGGTATACACTAAGTTATCTAAGAGAGTAAGAGAGTGAGCAGACTAAGAATATAAGGTCTGAGTGATGGGCAGCATGAATAAAACACTAAGCTCAAATACTGACCGAGTTGCAGGCATTTGCTCGTTCTATTTTAGAAAGACCCTTCAATTCAGTATCAAATACATTCATCTTCTCTACCAGGCAAGTGAGAGCAGTCTCTGTAGCTTCTCCAACTTTTTCATACACACCCTTCGCCTGTAGTAGTTAAAAGCATACAAATTACAAAAAGGGAAAAGTAGTAAATTTTCTTTAATAAAGACTTTTTCCATAGGTGGACAATCTCTTGTCCATTGTACCATTATTCTTTGGGCCATTTTTATACTATTCTGGAGCATATGATCCAGATAATTAAAAATAAACTCAAAGCATAGGTGTGCATTTTATCTTTTTCTAATGATTAGGTCTTTCATTTCCTTTAACCATAAGAAGCCAATAATCACAGTATTAATTCAAACATAGGGAGCTTTCAAATAGTATTTGTAATTCCTTGTCATTATTTATCATTCTACAGAGTTTACATTCTGTTTCCGTTGGGGACTGGCTTGCCTTTAGAAACCAAAGAATTTATCTCACTGTTTATAATTAAAAAGGGAGGAAAAAAAGGTTTTCTGTTGGTTAAATTTTATATTATATCATCATCATCATCATCAAAACAACCTTCTAAGCTTCAGCCTGTCCTCTAGGACATAATGTTACCCATCTTAAAAAGCAAAATCAATACCCTATACTTTCAGGAAAAAGTATCCTGGTTTTAATCATTTATAGTAACTAAGCTATACACAGAAGAGAACATCATGTATGCTACAACTCCTAGTTAAGTAACTGCAATGCTCAGTCACAGAGAATATATGAAAGGCTTCCAGCTTCCTTTGGGTAGGTCATGCTGGCTCTGATAGAGATAGGCTCTTAATGGAAAGGGAAAATAAAACCAGGAACCCATACTTTCAAAAAAGGGAGGAAGGAAGGCTGGATTTTCATTCCACCCACCGCACCCTTGAACTAGGAACAGCCAGGTCTAGTTTCTCATTTGTGAGGAGGCTTACCTCATTGTAATCCAAAGCAGAGTCATTACAGAGAGCACAAATTGTTGCCAATTCCACAAGACCATCATACTGATGACAATTCACTGGTTTATCATCTTTATGTCTGTCAAAAGAAAAAGTAACTCTTAGAACACACTGTGGTCATCTCTATTGATTTTTATTTAATTATTTACTAATAAATAGAATTTTGTGGACAACGGACTGACAAGCATTCAAAAGAAATCTGATGCTGGAGACAGAATGTGTCTCTGGTATCAGCAGTCAATCAGCAAAGACCAGGAATTCTTAGTTAATGAAACTCCTCCACCACTGGTATCAATGAAAAACAAACAGCAATTCCCTGGTGGTCCAGTGGTTAGGACTCGGTGCTCTCACTGCCAGGGCCCTGGGTCCCAATTCCTGGTCAGGGAACTAAGATCCCGCAAGCCGTGCAGGGCGACCAAAAAAACCAAACCAAAACCAAAACCAAACCAAAGCAAACCAGAAACCCCACATGAAAATTTAGGCTTCAAAAGATGAAAAAGGGTCACTGGCTTATACAACCTGTAATATCAATTTCAATTTCCAAAGTATGTATTATCAATTTTGTTTTTAAAGAAAATGAACTACTCTGATAAACATGAGCCACATTAGGAAAACTGTCTGAACATTTTAGAGACACTGCAAGTCTATACAAGCACCAAACTACCAGAGTGGAGCCTTTAAAAGACAAGGAGGGATTACTCACATTTCTCCAATAGGTGCATATGTTGATCCAGTTATGGTAAACTCATTAAGGGAACAAGTATCACTGTCAACTTTGTCCAGAATGAACATCTACAGAAAATAAAAAGCCTAAGTGTTGAAAAGGTATAAAAAATATGCTAGAAAAAACATATAACATTTGCTAAGACAAAAGGCCTTTCTCACTTGAGTATAAATGTTAATGAAAGTGATTAATTGAAGCTCAGCATGAGGAACATTGCCCCTTATTCCAACTGGACACTATTAAGACTGCCTCCCCCATCCACCTAACAGTCTGAGAAACAGCATCACTGAGGAACTGAATAAATAATAAGCAGCAACAGCACCAGACACAGAAGAGAACCCACGTGAAATCTGAGTTATGAGGACTCTGGGTCAGTCAATTCCAAGACTCAGCAGTACTCTTTAGAATGCTCAGAATTCCAAATTTCAAATGGCTGGCTGAGGAAGTGACATAGGTATTCCTGCCTTAGAGCTAACAGTAAAAGCCTCGGGAAGAATAAACTCACATTTCAGAGTTGCATAAACACTCCCCAAGTAAAATAAGACAAACTGCTTCTCTACTTCTTCCTACTTATTTTTATTGTGGCAATAGCTCATTTTCTATGAAGCTGCACAACTGCGTGTATACGGTAAGGAGCCCGCAGAGCTGAATGAACTGATGCTACCAAGACAATACAGATGGAAGCAGGCTTAGGAAAGAATTCTTTTTTTTTTTTTTTTTTTTTTCTTGCGTTATGCGGGCCTCTCACTGTTGTGGCCTCTCCCATTTGCGGAGCACAGGCTCCGGACGCGCAGGCTCAGTGGCCATGGCTCACGGGCCCAGCCGCTCCGCGGCATGTGGGATCTTCCCGAAACGGGGCACGAACCCGCGTCTCCTGCATCGGCAGGCGGACTCTCAAGCACTGCGCCACCAGGGAAGCCCAAGAATTCTTAAACTAAAGTAAAAAAGGGCCATGTAATGCTTTAAAAACATCTTTTCAGAGCATTCTGACTCATATTCAGTAAGACAATCTGCTCGTTTTTATTTTAAAATAACTTCTTTTGCCTCATAAGATTTGATTATACAGCACATACTCCCCCCCCCCACATCTTTATTGGAGTATAAATGCTTTACAATGTTGTGTTAGTTTCTGTACAACAAAGTGAATCAGCTATATGCATACATATATCCCCATATCTCCTCCCTCTTGAGCCTCCCTCCCACCCTCCCTTATCCCATCCCTCTAGGTCGTCACAAAGCATGGAGTTGATCTCCTTGTGCTATGCAGCAGCTTCCCACTAGCCATCCATTTTACATTTGATAGTGTATATATGTCAATTATAGCACATACTTTTAAATTCCAAAAGCTTCATTTCAAAAGTACACTCAGAACTAAATCAACCTTGGAACTCAACTAAAGCTATGAGTAAGACAAAACGATTTTTTTAAAAATTAAAATATACAAGTAAAACTGTGATGACTCCTGATAAAAGGTGTTATTAGTTCAAACACATATAAATGGTGTGTCAAATGAGGAAAAGATTCATGTCCAAGGTCACATGCAGCAAGATCACCAATCCCTACAACTTCTTTCTAACAGATACAACATCTAAAAAAAGGAAGCTTGGCACAAAGCTCTTTCCAAAGATGTCTGACATTTACAGAAGAGGAAACAAAGGACTAGAGAGGTTAAAAGATGTGCTCACAGTTACACAATTATTAAGTGGAAGAGAGAGAACCAGGTTTACCAATGTTTCCCATCAGAAAATTCAACTTTACCTTTCTATTAAAAGTTGTGTGACCCTTGGACATGTCACAACTTCTCAGAGCCTAGGTTTTCTAACCTCTTGAGCAGGATTACCATACGATTCAAATAAAGTCACATGTGAAAAATTAACTGCACTAAGCCTTATCAAAGCAAGTTGGCATTATTATTACTATACACCATGCTACTTCTTTAATGACACTGTTTATAAAAGTGAAACTCTGGGTCTATACCAGAGTTCAAAATATTCTAAGACATTCAGAATTCTAACCCACACCAACTAAATCTGAATGCACATGGGCATTTTAGACTGCAAGCCAGTAAACCATTTAGAAACTGCATGATGAAAGTATCCTGAAGTCAAGGGCAGTTATGCAATCCACTGCAAGAAACCTCCTGTAGAATACTGATTAGCATCAGCTTTCTGTCGCCAAATGTAGAACAAAGAGCCAAGCTATTTCTTTAACAGAACATTTTAAATCAAATCACTTAAGGGAAAATATAAGAACAAAAACATTTTTATCATGGATTGTGTTTTAGTCTTAGTTTGAAGTCTGAAGCTGCCACAACCTTACCATTTTTTAAAGATTACAATTTCACACACTGCTTTACCTTCATGGATATAAGGACTATTCTGAGGAATTAAAGCTTACAGTCTAAGTTTAAACAATTTCCTGCGGGAAACCAAACAGGTAAAATGAAATTCCCTTTCTCTCCCCCAATCAATCAGCTATTAGCGGACAACTAGCTTTTAGCAGATTCATCCAACCTTTTTTGGTTCCAAGGAAAGAGAATAGGTAGCTCAGTTACACCCTGCATCTACTCAAGAAACTCAAGACAAGCTAGAAGCTTACCACTTGAGAGAACACCCCAGTGTGTTTTAAACACCTGTCCATTCACTCTAAACCTGGGTTTTGGACAACACAAAAAGTTGAGGGTGGGTGTATCAAAAAAATACCATGACTATAAATTTGGCAAGAAAAAGATTCAGAGGGTTCAACTGTATTAAAACAAGAACAATTTCCAGTGCTAAAAAAACTAACTAAAACCTGGAGATAAGGCCAAGGGGAGGATGGCATGTCCTTTCAATGTCATTCAGAAGCATTACTTAACAAGCACACTCAAAGATTTAGTGTTTTGGAAATATTTAACATTCTTTCACTGTGCTATTATTAAGGGCTCATGTTTTATGAAGTTGTGGCTTTTTGTCCTGTATAAAAGATAACCTTAGTTTTACTGCCCTATAGGATATTAACCAGTTTTTGTAATCTAACACACATCAATTCTATTCTAATATTGAGCACACTTCCTCACATGATCCTGTAACCAGTTTTACCATCTTACTGATTCTCCCTCATTGAATTAATGAGCCAAATAGAATCTTTGACATGTGTCCACTCAATATTTGTATGAGTTGTGTACCTTTTGGAAAATTACTTTGACTTGTACATAGTAGTAGTTTTTTTTGTGTGCGTGTGTCAATTTTGTATTTAATTTATCCTTCCAGTTTTACTGAGATATAAGTGACATACAGCACTATATAAGCTTAAGGTATACAGCACAATGATCTGACTTATGATCATCATGAAATGAGTATAACAATAAGTTTAATGAACATCATCTAATATATACAAAATAAAAGTTTTCTCCTTGTGATGAGAACTCTTAAGATTTACTCTCTTGACAACTTTCATATATAACGTACAGCAGTGCTAATTATATTTATCATGCTGTACCATTACATTCCCTAAGACTTATTTATCCTATAACTTTGTACCTTTTGATCACCTTCATCCAATTCCTCCCCCTCCCACCCGCACCTCCGCCTCTGATAATCACAAATTTGATCTCTTTTTCTATGTCGGTTTTTGAAGTGTAATTGACCTAAAACTTCCTGGTGCATGGGATAGTGATGGGATACTTCTATACATTTCAAAATGATCATCATGATAAGTCTAGTTCTCATCTGTCACCATACAAAGATATTACATTATTATTGACTGTGTTCCCTGCACTCTACATTTCATACCCATGACACACTTATTCTGTAACTGGAAGTTTGCACCTCAATTTCCCTCATCTGTTTCTCTCATACCCCCACCTCAAAGTTGTTTAAAGAAAACCTAGGGAAATTGAATTACATGAAAGAACTTCATTCAGCTGTACCATTACATTATTTCTTTAGTTCTTACTTTGCTAAGGGAAGGTTTAAAGTTTTTAATTTTATCCCCAAGTGATGGTCAAAACAACCTAAGAAAGGAAGGATGAACACAGAGTATGAAGCAAGTTAAAGGCAATTATTTACTTTTTAAGAAGAAAACATGTCTCATTCAATGTGTTAAGGAAGTACCAATTAGAATTTTATGTAGGTAGGTAACTAGCTGGTTTATAGAACTCTTCCTTTGAAGCTTGTGTTAACATACATACACTTAGAGAGAGAAGAACAGGGAAATAAAGCAAGCACAGTCACCTAACACATTTACAGACTGCTTACAGTTATTTCCCCAGTACAAATATATCAGCCATGTAGATAACCTTTATTTCATGACATAATTCTGGGAATTAAATGATTAATTCCTCTGGAGTATAAGAAATTACCCTTGGGCTCAAGCTACACATACAACCCAATTTGCTTAAAGCACATAAAAAGGTATCAAATTATAAATCAAAGGTTTAAGATCTAGCAATCCCACTCCTGGGCATATATCCAGAAATGATGAAAAGATATATGCACCCCAGTGTTCATAGCAGCACTATTCAATAGTCAAGACACAGAGGGGGACTTCCCTGGTGGCAGTGGTTAAGAATCTGCCTCCCAATGCAGGGGACACGGGTTTGAGCCCTGGTCTGGGAAGATCCCACATGCCGTGGAGCAACTAAGCCCGTGTGCCACAGCTACTGAGCCTGCGGGCCACAACTACTGAGCCTGCATGCTGCAACTACTGAAGCCTGTGCACCTAGAGCCTGTGCTCCGCAACAAGAGAAGCCACCGCAATAAGAAGACTGCACGCTGCAACAAAGAGTAGTCCCTGCTCACCGCAACTAGAGAAAGCCCGTGCGCAGCAACGAAGACCCAATGCAGCCAAAAAAAAAAAAAAGACATAGAGGGACTTCCCTGGTGGTCCAGTGGGTAGGACTCCACGCTCCCAATGCAGGGGGCCCAGGTTCAATCCCTGGTTGGGGAGCTGGATCCAGCATGCATGCCACAACTAGGAGTTCGCATGCCGCGACTAAGAGCCCACATACAAAGAAGTCTGCATGCTGCAACTAAAAAAAGATCCTGCATGCTGCAGCTGAGGCCCAACACAGCAAAGAAAGGAAGAGGGGTAGGGAGGCAGGGAGGGAGGGAGGAAGACATGGGAAGAAACCTAAGTATCTGTCCATTGATAGATGAATGGATAAGGAGATGTGGTATATAGATATACAATGGAATATTACTCAGCCATAAAAAAGAAAATGCCACTTGTTATATGTGGAATCTAAAAAAAAAGGGTATAAATGAACTTATTTACAAAACAGAAGTGGAGTTATGGATGTAGAAAACAAACTTATGGTTACCAGGGGATAAGCAGTGGGAGGGATAACATGGGAGACTGGGATCAACATACACACACTTCTATATATAAAATAGATCACTAATAAGAACCTGCTGTATAACACAGGGAACTCTACTCAATACTCTGTAATGGCCTATATGGGAAAAGAATCTAAAAAAAAAAGCAGGTATATGTATATGTGTAACTGATTCACTTTGCTATACACCTGAAACTAACACATTGTAAATCGACTATACTCCAATAAAAAATTTTTAAAAAAGGAAAAAATAATGCCACTTGCAGCAACATGGATGGACCTAGAGATTATCATACTAAGTGAAGTAAGTCAGAGAAAGACAAATATAATATCGCTTGTATGTGGAATCTTAAAAAAAAAAAGACACAAATGAACTTATTTACAAAACAGAAATAGACCCACAGACACAGAAAACAAACTTATGGTTACCAGAGGGGGGAGGGGTAGGGGAAGGGGGAGGAGGGATAAATTAGGAGTTTGGGATTAACAGATACATGCTACTATATATAAAACAGATAACCAACAAGGACTTACTGTATAGCACAGGGAACTATACTCAGTATTTTCTAATAACCTCTAAGGGGAAATAATCTAAAAATTATATATATATATATATATATATATATATACACATAAAATAACTGAACCACTTTGCTGTACACCCGGAACTAACACAACACTGTAAACCAACTGTACTTCAATAAAAATAAAATAAAAAAATAAATCACACGGGGAGCTTTACTTCACTTCGCTGTACAGTAGAAACTAACATAATATCATGAAACAACTAGACACCGATTAAAAAAATAGTAATTAAAAAAATAATAAATCAAAGGTTTTGATGGCACGAAGGCATATTCTTAGGATGAATCAACAACCATAACCTGCAAAGATTCTGAAACTACTCCCACTTACCCTGCAGACTGACATCTGGTTCGTTGTCAGTGTACCAGTCTTGTCTGAGCAGATAACAGAAGTACAACCAAGGGTTTCCACGGAAGGGAGACTTCGAACAATGGCATTTTTCTTTGCCATTCTGCGAGTTCCAAGAGCCAGACAGGTGGTGATGACAGCAGGCAGACCTTCAGGAATGGCTGCTACAGCCAGGGCCACAGCAATTTTAAAGTAGTAAATAGCACCTCTGATCCAGGAGCCTCCATGAACTGGGTCATTGAAGTGTCCAATGTTTATGATCCAGACCGCAATGCATATAAGGGAGATGACTTTGGACAGCTGTTCCCCAAATTCATCTAGTTTCTGCTGGAGGGGTGTTCTCTCCTGTTCCGTGGCCACCATTTCATCCCGGATCTTGCCAATTTCAGTGTTTACTCCAGTTGCCACCACCACTCCCATGGCTTTGCCGGCAGCAATGTTTGTACCCTAGGACAGAAGTAGAGATATGGTTACAAGACTAACACCACACCCAATTTAAATACTGACTAGTAAACTCAGACTTGTGTGGATTTTCAAGAGGGCACAAAGATTCTCTCACCACATTCTACTGGGCCTTCCAGTGGCAACCAGCCATCTAACTTTGATGATGAGCAATACCTCATGCAGGCAGGTGTGGTCCATCTCTCCCTGATTTGATTCTCCATGAAATTAGAATGGTACCTACTTGCCCCAGAGCCCTCTACACCGGCCACCTTGAATCTCTATTCACAATACTGAGCCTGGCTTGCAGACTAGCTTTGGCCTGGGACAGCGCTTAACCCCTCTGTGTTCCTGACTTTTCATACTTCATACAGCTCTCAACTCTAAGCATTCTCCACCTCTGGCTCCAACAACTCAACCCCTCCTACTTTTATCACCCATAATAAGAAGGGCAACCAGGACCATGGGCTGTCCTTGAGGACCTCCACTTAAGCACTAGTATTCAAAGATCAATACAATCAAGTGTAAGGTTCCCCCCACCCCATTTTAATTCCTAAATGTTGGAAGAACAGGGCTTCATTATTTTCATTGTTGCTCTACTTTTTTACTTACTATGGGGTGGTTAGATTCCCATGCTAACCCACAAAAGCCCACTACTTGAAATACCACTTTAAGTTCTAAACAAACGAAAACTATAAATTTCCCAACTTTCTATTTCAAAAAAATTTAACAGAAAAATTGAAGTAGTACAATGAACATCCATCCATTTTCACCCAGACTCACCAATTATTAATGGTTTTTTGCCACATTTGCTTTCTCTCTAAACACAGGTTGTGAACTACACACAGTTATCATCCACATCATTTTGAAAACATCCCTTTATAGGCTAAGTCTTTTCCAAACAAAGTACTCACAGAAAAGAGCATGTTCTTCTTATCTTGATTGACGGCCCGTGGGTCAGGGACGGGGTCAGTGTGCTTGATGACAGAGACAGATTCACCTAAGCAGGTTGTGATACAGAAGGTTTGTTTAGATCTGTGCAGTCTGCACCTAGAACCTTGGTACCCTCATCCGCTCATACCACTACCACTCTCAGGAAAAAGAAAAAAAGGCCCAATTCATTCAAAAGAACATAAACTAGTAAAATTCAGTAATAGAAACTAATTTCAAAGAAAAAAATCAAAATAAAGGAATTTAATTTTGAAGTAAAATCCCAGTCAATTACCTTTATTTTCTTGAATAACTATACAAATTTAGTTCATTTTCAGGTATCATTTTATACTCTAATATTATGAATGTAGATTTGTTGCATATTTATATACACATACACTCTGATACTTAAGAAGGTGAAAGTATATTTACTTTTAACAAAATAAACAAACTGTAGGTACAGTATATGAATACTTAGGATCATCCACTGGAAAGCCTGTTTTTGTTTTTGTTCAATAATGCCAAAGATGAGAAATGAAAACATTGTTCTAGAAATATTTGCACGCAGTAATCAGACCATTCTATTTCAATAAACCAAAATGAAAAACAGCAAGAGACTAAGAAGTAAGTCTACTAAGAAGTAAGTAGAAGTCTCTAAGAAGTAAGAGACTACTTCTTAGAACTTTCACAATGTCTGAATCTGGTTTCAACTTAACATCACTTATGAAATGCAGCTGATCCTTGAAAACTGCAGGAGTTAGGGGCATCAACCCTCTGCACAGTCATAAATCTGCACAGAACTTATGGTTGGCCCTCCATATACACAATCCCTCTATATTTGCGGTTCTGCATCTTAGGATTCAACCAACTAGTATAGTGTAAGTACTGTAGTATTTACTATTGAAAAAAATCCGCAGATAAGTGAACCCACACAATTCAAACCCATGTTGTTCAAGGGTTAACTGTATATAATGAGGGTGAAATATGGCCCTAGTTGTTAGGTCAAATTCCAGGTAGGAAATTTCACTCTCAAAATTTAACAAAAGAATCTGGTTCTTCAATCTAGCCCAGAACTAGAGTATGACTTTTAAACAAAAAAACAACACTCAAGAAACTCTACGGAAAGTTTTAACATGGAAATTATTTTTGTAGGCACAGTATGAGAATTTCATACATTCAACCCAATCAATTCCCTACCATTTTATGGCTTAATCAGCGTCCAGGTTGTTGCTGCTAATGGGAGTTTTAGTAGATAAGCTATTCATAAAGAAACAATAAAAAACAAGAGCCCAGGTTACTCACATCCCTACTTCTAGGACATGAGTTGCTTTTCAAAACTAATAATCAGATAAATCTTTGAATTTTATATTTACTCTCTATTTAATTCAGGTTAGCATTGTGTTTAATCTTCTGACCACCTTACTTCCATCCAGTTAATATGAACCCTCCACCCTAGACTGCCTGTATCAAACAAAAACGGGAAAATGTTCCAAACAATCCCAAATCTAAGTGTGCAAACTTTAGGTAGTAAACATTCACCATTTTGGAGGGTGCTAACTTTTGTTAATTGTACATCTGATTAATTGCAAAGTATGTCAGATGTGAGATTAGCATTCCTGGAGTCTGTATTTTTCCTGCTTGGAAAAAGAACACTAAGTAATTAATTCACTTTCCACAAAACAGAGAGACAACAAAACTACTTCAACCTTAAGAATATTACCTCTGCTACTGAAGGAATCTGTAACCCTTTAAAAACATTTTAGAAGGTAAGTTTAAATCAAAACTAATTTTTAATAAAATTTAAAGATAAATAGGCCTTATGAGATGAAAGCCAATTGTTTTTAAATTATAGCTTTACCTCATGTATTGGCAAAAAGCCTAACTGATAAAGCATTAAGAAATAAATATCCTGGAGAGGATTAAGAGACAGTGGGGGGCTTCCCTGGTGGCACAGTGGTTGAGAGTCCACCTGCCAATGCAGGGGACACGGGTTCGTGCCCCGGTCCGGGAACATCCCACATGCCGCGGAGCGGCTGGGCCCGTGAGCCATGGCCGCTGAGCCTGCGCGTCCGGAGCCTGTGCTCTGCAACGGGAGAGGCCACAGCAGTGAGAGGCCCGCGTAGCGCACAATTATATGTCAAGGATGCCAGGTCTTTGCCTCCACAGTCTAGTGACAAAACAACTTAAAAAAGAATAAATCAATCACAGGCATTGCCATGAAATGCCCTGAACGTGGGCATTATTCAATTTCTTCATGATATTTTGGCGTCTTCACAAAGAAAACTCACAAGGGAAAAAAAAAAAAGTATCTGTGTCATCCCACTTGTTTTTTTAACCAAGAACTATGCAGGAACTTTGTCACCAACTAATTGGGGAGGAAAAAAAGTCAGCTAAAATAAGCAACTTTTGCAATCATGTTACATAAAGAAAAATCTGTCTCCAAATCAAACACAATTTTTAAAGGAAATAAATAGCCTGTATACAGCACAAATATATAAAAATCTGCTATAGGGAATTCCCTGGCAGTCCAGTGGTTAGGACTCTGAGCTCCCACTGCAGGGGGCACGGGTTTGATCCTGGGGAACTAAGATCCCGCAGGCCACATGGCATGGCAGGCGGGAAAAAAAAAATCTGCTACAATAAGCAATATAATCAACTTATTCTCGGGGTCATAAAAACTCTTCCTGGATAGATACAAGATTTGAAGTACACAAGAAGAGAATAATGATACTCGGGCAAACAGCTCTAAGTACACATTATTTGCACTCCTACACACACACAGCATGGTGAAGGGGACTGAACTGTACAAGCCATGATTTATTCCACTAAGAAAGCCAAATTACCATGAACAGGAAACATGCCTCTATAAAAAGATGTTCAATTAATATCACTCATAAAAGAAAGGCAAGATACAACTACACAGAGAGACCACTTTTAAACTATCAAATTGACAAAGGAGTTGAGAAAAATGCACCAAGTTTGAAAGGATGTATATAGAAACAGGGCTTCTTATACAGGGTGACTGTAAGATGTGGCAAGTTTAGTTTTAATAAGCAAAAAAACAAACCAAAACAAAACCAGAGGCACAAATCATTTAGAGGCAAGTGCATAAGCAGATATTAATGAAAACTCGGTGTTAGTGCACTAACAAGGACAAACTGAATATGTCACTAAACATACCATGTAATGTTAGTAACCCATTTAGTATTCTTAATTCAACTACGCGTCCAGACTTTGTGACGACCCTATATATACTGCTGAGTACGAAGAAAAAAACTTACAAAATCTCTGGAGGGCAAACTGGCAATACATATCAAAATTGCAAAGCACAGGAGTTCCCTGGTGGTCCAGTGGTTGGGACTCCACGCTTTGCTTTCACTGCTGAGGGCGTGGGTTCGATTCCTGGTCGGGGACCTGGGATCCCCGCAAGCCGCGTGGCGCGGCCAAAAAAAAAAAAAAATGCAAAGCACAATCTTTTTATCCCATAAATTCCACTACAAAGAATTTATTCTACAGATATGCTTGCTGTATGTGGTTAGTTTTTTTTTATCAGCAGTAGAAAAAAGAGACAACTGTATTCATACTAAAGTAAAAACTTCCTCTAAGACATACTGTATATTAAGTGGGGAAAACACAAATGTGAAGCATCATGTATATGGAGCTCCACTGATATGAGAAAATACCTCTGGGAAGGTGTAACAGACTTGTACCACTAGGGAGCAGGGCATGAGTGGCAGGAGACTTTTCACCTTGTACCCTTTGGTACCTTTTGAAGTTTGAATTATCAGATAAATGAATAAACCTCTTGCATAACCTCTAGAAGATCTTTAAGTCAACTGAGTTTTCTTTTCTGGGCCAAAGAGTCCCTTTAACAGCTCTTAAACAGACCATGTCTTAGCCCCTTTCCTTGACGTATTTGAAGTAAATGCCACAACACAGACCCAGGAACAGATAAAGCCAATATTTCACCTGCACCTTGAGAACAATGCCCAGTGTACTGTAGGTGTTCAAATATTGCTGGATGAGTACGCATCAGTACCAAAGCAAGTGGAGAGTAAAAAATAAGTATACAACAGCTTTCCCTGGGTTTCTGAAAGGTACCATGGTGGTTTTAGAAGTCTTATGCAAGGACAGCTAAAAGTCAAAACAAATAAGCACAGTCCCCCCTACAACTGCATATGGTATTTCTAAGTTAAATCTTAATTTTCAAGACTTACCCTACTATACTGAACTGTAACTTTCACTGGTTATACATAAACTGGCAAAACAGCCATTCTGTCCAAGAAGTAGATTTATTTCATTTGTTAAACCTTTAGTTTAGTTCTAATTTGTCTGTATCTCAGAGCTTTTAAATTCAGGGAGAGTATGGTGTGCTTTCTGAGCTCTAGTTCATGAAACAACCCTATAACCTAAGTAGGAAATGTGGTCACAAGATGGCACAGAAAGAGACTGCCAATATATAATCTCAAGAGGCAAAATCATCCCTG